GACAAAAGAAAATATTATGAAGTCATGGAAAGTGAAACAGAACAAGCTACAGGCAAAGGAGACCTCCCCACACTCTACCAAACAACTAGGAACCTATCGGGAAAAAGTTCGACACAGATTAAGCCAGTCAAGGATGACAATGGAAAGTCAATCACCAAAAAGGTGGAGCAAAGAAAACACTGGGCTGAACACTTCAAAAGTCTTCTGAATCGACCGCCACCTACAACACGTCCAGCAATACCAACAACGGAAGCAGAACTACCAGTGAACACTGACCCCCCGACGAAATCAGAAGTCCTGAATGCAATCAAGATGCTTAAAGCTGGGAAAACACAAGGACCAGATGGAATCCCAGCAGAAGCTTTGAAAATAGACCCAGAGACAACAGTGGACTTGATGACGCCACTGCTGGAGAAGGTGTGGAAAGAGGGCAAAGTACCCGAGGATTGGAAGAACGGATACTTATTCAAACTACCAAAGAAAGGAGACTTAAGTCAATGTAAAAACTGGCGTGGAATTATGCTCCTGTGCATTCCAAGCAAAATACTAAGTCGCATCATACTGGAGAAAATCAAACAAGCCAACGTGGATGAAAAACTTCGACCGGAACAGGCCGGATTCAGGAGAAACAAATCATGTATTGATCAAATCGCCACTCTACGGATCATCATTGAACAAAGCTTGGAATGGCAGTCACCTCTCTATCTCAACTTCATCGACTTTGAAAAGGCCTTCGACAGCGTCGATCGAGAGGTGATTTGGCAACTACTTCGCTACTACGGGGTCCCATTGACAATTATACATCTCATCCAACAGTTATACGACAATGCTGCACTGCATGTCAAGTGATCCACAACGGGAAACTTACGGAGGCCTTCGAAGTGAGGACGGGAGTGAGGCAAGGCTGTCTACTATCACCAATGATCTTCCTGATTGCAACTGATTGGATAATGCGACAGACAATGGAAACCAACGAGAGAACAGGCATAAAATTGACTCAAACAAAAGACTTGAAGGATCTGGATTTCGCCGATGATATATGTCTGATTTCCCACAAACTGGAAGATATGCAAGTGAAAAGTAACAAGTTGGCAGAAGAAGCATCAAAGATAGGACTTCAGGTGAATATAGATAAAACAGAGGTGATGAAGATTCCTGGCCAACACCAACAGCAACAACAACAGAAAACAATCAGCCAGCATGAATGGGAGGAACCCGAAAGAAACAACCTCCTTCACCTACACCTAACTGGGAAGCGTCGTTTCAACTACAGGCGGACGGTACTGACGAGGATATCAAAGCAAGGATCGGAAAAGCAATCAAGCTTTCATTACTCTCAAGTCTGTGTGGAGGTCTACACTCGACACTCAGCATCAAAAATAAGATCCGGATTCTCAACTGCAACGTGAAATCAGTGCTATTATACGGATCAGAGACTTGGCGAGTCATGAAGAGCATCTCCAACAAACTGCAGACCTTCATTAACAATTGTCTTCGCTCAATACTCAAGATCAGATGGCCGGTCAGAAAAGATCAGCAACAGGGATCTCTGGGAGTGAACCAACCAGGAACCGATTGTGAAACAAATAGGCAGGAAGAAATGGAGATGGATTGGTGATACTCTGAGGAAACCACCCATCAAGTGACATCACTAGAAAACCATTGCTCGAGTGGAACCCGAAAGGGAAGCGGCGAGTCGGTCGTCAGTGCAAGGGTGACTTGGAGGAGGTCATGCGAGGAGGAGATGAAAGCTGAGGATAGACCTGGAGCGAGCTGAAAAAGTCGGCAGAAAACGAAAGCAATGGAGGTGCGCAGCTGAAGCCCTGTGTTCCTCTAGGAACTAAAGAATGCAATAATAATAATAACTACACTAAAAGTCGACTAGGTAAGCAGGCAAGAGGCTCTTCTGATTACCTGGAGACTGGCACAAGTTTGAACAGCGAGAAGAAAAGATGACCGATGACGTAATTTCATGTCCACATCGTAAACCAGATCCATATTGGAGGAATGAACAATTCTACATTTACTTCTGCATCTGCTTTTAAATCTGTTCACCTCAATTACGACCACTTACTATCCATCTGCGTATATATATATATATATACGACTGATAAATCTTTTCAGTAGCAAATGAGAGAATTTCATTCTGTGGCGAAACTTGAATATAAACAAATTCTCACGATGACACCGGAAATCAACTCTCGTTGGTTTCTACTTAGGATGTAAACCCTTTCGCATAATAACACCATCGAAATCTAACAGACAGCGAATTCTTGGTATGAGGTCAAAAAAAATTGAGTAATGATACTGACTGAACGGAATAAGTCCATTTGCACTAAGGAAAATGTCTGCTGCGGCAGCCTAACAAACCAATAATTATCCAATAATTCACATTTTGAATCAACGAGGAAATGACTTGCAACATCATCCCATATGCTTAACTAAGACTCGTTTTGTGTTACCGGAACGTATGATCTTGCAACACGTGTATATACAAGGTAGTGGTTCTCTTCAGTCAAGTCCCCACGAATGATTCTCTCAACAAACGTATTCTGATACTTTCTTGTTATACCACCATTCCAAATGCATTTATCATCCATCTGTGATTCTTTCGAAGCAACATAACTGAGTCTGACATGTTGATCTCTTCAACGCTTACTTCTCTCCAGAATAAATGTATGTAATGCATGTCTTCTGGAAGCTTCTTTGTGTGCAATACAACTCAACATTCATGTACATAGAAGTGTTGGCTTGTCGTTAGTGGACACAGTGACGCAAACAAATTACCTAACTGAGATAAAACAAATATTAATTGATTCAGGCATTGGCAGTTATTTGCATCGAAGCTACACACGATTTCCCGCTTCGTCAGATAAAGAAGCAAATGGCAATAAAACATCTTAGTCGTCAAACCAGACATAATCATTGAGGAAAGTAGTCGTTCAAATCCAGTGGTAAGAGTAACAGTCTCTGGGAGGAATGACACCGTAATGAGCTCTAAGAACAGATCACTCTGACGGTACAGATAAGACTTCGACGGTCAATTCCACTGACCTACAAACACAACAAATTTTTCAGGACACAAAGTCAACCTGGGTGGAATGTAGACATGGTATTCAAAATTCAATTGAGTTTTCAAAAGTTGGCATTATCTCAAAGAGGACTACGCCGGTATGTCCCTATGCGATTAATCTAGATGTAGTTAGTTTCGTTGGTGACAAACTACTGACTGAGTTACCTGAGAAATTAGTAATTGTGTGTCAGTGTTAGATATTCCAGCCGAACTGGTCTGAGTCAGTGATTACACTGATCTATGAGTAATCCGGTGACAAGTGTGGTAGAATTAGTTTATCTAGGATGTCATTTGAAATTGTAGGTTAAATAAACAAACAGGGACTGAGAGTTGATGTAGAGGATCAAAACCTGAGAAGGCACTACGACATTAGATTGGAGATAGAGTGAAGTGATCACATTTCGACGCCTCGACAGATTCTCTAATATAGTAATAACAACTAGAGTCAAATACTTCTCATATTTAGATTTAGCTGTGCTGTCCAAGCTGTTGGAGTGAAATCCGAAGTTTTAGTTTTTCTAATTCTAGACTACATCTGCAGCTCGCATTTCGGTATGAAATGAACCTGTTCACAATCACAGCAAACACGTCTATAAGCCTTCAGTTGTCACGTGTAGGAATGTTGAGTAGCTGCGTGCAATCGAACGAGGAAATGCAATCATTGAAATAACATTATGATTTCCTTAATTTCAAACACAAGTGCATGCATTGCTTTCGTGGATTTTCAGTGTGTGTGAGCGTGTGCGTGCGACAGGAAACCTGAGTTGCTAATAACCAGTGTGTTGAAGTAATGCCTTAGCATTTGACAGATAATGTATGACCGAATGCGTGGAAGAAATGCATCAGGCAACTGAAGTGATGAATTGTTGCTTCACAGGAGTTACCCGTACTTGAAGGCAAGCGATGCAGTCGGAGTCGTGAGCGATGGTGCGTTGGACTCTGCTAGCGACTTAGAAGGGTGCTGCACCCCATTCATCGGGTGTGAGGACAAATACTCGCCGAAGACATTGACTAGCGTACGCGCTATGTCGTCAATTGACAGAAGTTAGAATCCATCCACTGACGGTTGGATCGGGTCCCGGTGGCATAATACTACGCGAGCTCGCCTTGTAACCAGATGGTCTGGAGTTCGAATCCAGGTGGGCGCGCACTGATGAAGAGTCATAAACTAGGACGAAACAGCTGTCCAGTAATCCCATATTTCCAAAGGTTCTCTAACCAATGTCAGCTCATGATGAAATCTTGTAACGAATCAGTCAAATCCCTACAAACCAATATCCGAAAATTAATTTAAACAACGATTCAACCGTTCTCGTTACATACTGGTTTCCGAGGCGAATTCTACACACTTTTGCATATTCAAAAAACATTCTGTGTTTGCTAATTCAGTTCTGTCTAAATAGTATCAGTGATGAGTAGTTATTGCACTCATCATCACCTTGCTAGTTACTGGAACCATCACCTAACATCTGGCCACTTATTCCATTTCAAACGGAAACGTGTGGAATAGTGTTTCACCTACACTCGGTACACTTTGTACATGTTAACCGTAATCACCTCCTCCAAGTAAATGGCTTCAACTGTACTCGATTTGAAGTCGGTGACGCGTATATGTCTTCACGCTTCTGTTTGCCACTGAAACAGTATATCGAATTGCACCTACCACATGGTTCATGTGTGTGTGAATATCACAAAGCACAATTTGTGCCATTATAACTCTCTCGCTCTCTTCTCTCTGAATTATCTCATGCACATTTAACTGAAAGGAATCAGTTACCTAACAGTCCCCTGATTACAAATCTGACATTACTACATATTCGAAGACGACAGTCGACTGCAAATTACTCATCGTCGATTACAAATATTAACCACACCACACCACAGTCGGCAGTTCAATGAAGCTTGAATTCATAATGAGAAAGCGGTGTAGCAGATTAATGATTTATTTAACTTAATTAAAAAAGAAATGTTTACGAAAGCTTCTACAGTCTACTTGTATTCATCAGTATTATGTCGACGTTGACGTTTGTCTAGATGCGCCTCTTCACTATCCTGCATGGGATTAAATTCAAATCATCGGTTTAGTTGGATGAAATGTTAGTGGTTAAACAATAAAGCAACATGTATACTGGAGAGAAGAATACTTGGTGGCGAATTGTATGCTTACTCATGGAGTCTGCGAATTCTGAATATTCTCAGTGAGTGATAATTTCAATCTTCATTGTTTGTCGGAGCATACGAGTTGCTAGATTTCTATAACTCACTATCTGTCGTGTGAAATTCACTAGTTTGCATATCCTCGCTGACATTGTTGAATGTGCACGTATATTCTCATACATTCATGACACCATCCACTTAGAACTCTCATGATATTATTCATTGGTGGATATACACACGGTAACTCACAACGCCACTCATGATGCTCTCACCATGCGATCGAACAGGCGCATTCGAGCCTGGAATTTCAACCACATATTCATGAGTCAATATTCGAGTCGAGTGATAGGAGTCTAGTCGATGGTGGAATATATTGTCTAACTGTTTTTGTGACTATGCTAATCCTGTGTAGTACTTTCCTCACTCATCATCCTCCACACTCTCACAATTCGTGCACTTGAAACTCGATTCGCTACTCCATTAAGAGTACTTCGTAAGATAAAATGTGGAAAGACAATGCGAAATAAATCTCACCTCTGGTGATATGTGTTGTGTACAGATTCTGAAGAACTAGAAACGATGAAACATTTTGAGAATTATTTGAATGGTCTAATTAAAATAATTGTTGCATATAACTGAGTTTGTCTGCTAATTAACAGTAGAGAAGCACAGACTACTCTCTCATTCCTACCACTGCCATCACAGTGTTTCCTCATACATATTTCCGATTGTACAGTTTATTAGTGCAGAAAAAATAAACTCACAAGTGTTAATCATATACAGAGCTTTTTGTTCGAAAACTGCTTGTATTTCTAAATTCAGTTCACCCAGATCTGAAATAATTCATAAACGGATACCCAACAGAATGCATTTCACAGAGTAATTCATTGGCATTCAAACTCAAACTACGCGGCATTACATGACGCAAAACATACTGATCGGCACAGAGATTCAAGCAGTTGACTACTCCACAAACTCATCTACTTGCATGATGTCTTCGCACGTTGTCCAAACTACTGTCATCAAGTCACTCTGTCAGTACTCATTCAATTTCACAGTTAACAAATTGTCTTCTAGTGTGTGTTTCTACTCGCAATCACACCATCTGCACAATTCCATTTGTAGACGACTGACAACATTCTTAACACTGAACTTGTTCATCCTCCTTCAGACATCATTTTTTAACTCTTTGAAAATGCTCATCACAGAATACCGTATAAGAAGTGGACTTTCATGAAATCAAATCATGATGAAGGTATTGTGATAGATGAAAATATACCATCATCGTAAATGTATGTGAAAACGTTATTCATTTCAAAATGAATGAAAATGAACGGCAAATGAATACCTTGAGGACTCTCTGAAGGTAGATTTTCGAGACAGTTTTCCAAAGGAAACTCCTCCATCTTTTCTATTTATGGGTGAGTAAGAGTAGCAAAACATTTTGATTATTAAAGCTAATTGACATCAGATATGTGGAAACTGGAAACTCGAAAATCCGTACTCCACACAGACAAAACAATTCAGATGGATAGGTGCAATACTATGCTACTTACTGTGATATGCTGAGGATTCTCCCTTGGCACAATTCACTGCATCAGCTAGATTCACCTCACGGTCTGCAAATAAATGAGTTTCACACACATTAATGCATGTCTATCGTTTTTAGTATAAAGCTTATTCACATTTATGCATGTTTAACGCAAACACAATCACAATTCAGACGAAAAATTATGTCTACTGATTTACATATTGTAAATGAGTATCCGAAATGAGAAATAGGTAGTTGAACATCTGTCGTCAATCAGTTCCTCATGTTCTGTGCAGGAGGAAATTCTCCCTATTTATTTGAAATTAGCAAATAGAAAGGCACGAATGAAATACTAGTTGACATGTTCACGCGAGAATATACACAAGGTCAATTTTCTTAGCCAGAATATTGATGCGAAATAATTATGATGGTAAGTAAGTGAACAGGTACAGAAACGATTCGAAATATTCAACTTACAATGGGGGAGACGTTGTGCAAGAGCTTGAAAGATAAACAGAGGTAAGCATATTGAGTAGACCAGGTCAATTTGTAAATAACAAACTTGCAAACATTTATCACTCTGCAGTGAGGCAGTCGTTGATTATTGAAATGGTCAATGAGAAAGCATATCACCAATTGTGAGTGTATTAGAATGCTGACTTCTGATTTATCAAATGAAAGCCTAATGTAGTAGATGAATTTCACGAGTAAAATTTTATTTTAATTGAAAAACAATACTAGAACGCACTGTTGAATACTACCTCTCCCCAGCTGTATGTGTATGCAGTTTCAAGGCAATCCAAATCTAAAATAGATCGTTCGTAATTCCAATACATTCGGTTTGCTTACGTTTTTCTATTACACCTCGTGAAGTTGGATTTTGACTGAAAATCCTTTCTAATAAAGAAGAGTGAAAGAAAAGGTCGAATATTTACAACTTGTGAAGACGTATAATTCGAGTGTGTCATTATCTGTTACATACTAGACAACGTGATGTTTTGATGTCGTCATACTTATCACTTTGTAAGTATAATTCAGGGCATATTTTCGTCAACGGAAAAATATTATTGGTGATATAGCTTTTAGGTTGATTTACCTTTAATGGTTTGCAGTCTCCCTTCTGCTCCTGCCAGATTCGTAATTATTTCTAATGTTTTATCTATGGGGAAACGAGAACACCTTGCATGAACTGTCATGTAATAAGTATGATCATTGAATACAAGTGAGTAATACACATTGAAATAGTTACATTGAAAACGTCAGAAAGCGTATCAGTTAAGGTAGTCAGCATACGTTGATAATCTATCTGTAGCACCGTTTCTGCGCTAGTCATTCTCCACACTGTTTTGTAAGATACCGTATCAGTTTTGGAAGCATCAGGGAAGACCATGGCAGCAAAGATGATTGTAAGACTCTCGCAATTCCTAAGCTATTGTCATGAAAAATTCTCAAGTCTAATGATTAATTCAAATATTATGCATTTTTAACGTACTTACTTTCAACATTGGTAAGGCGTTCTATTACATGGGCCGGTTTGCCTCGAACTTCAATGAAGAATTGCAAATGAGAATTATTATTCAGAGAAGTAGTTTCAGAATAATGAAGATCATTAGAATAATTACTCTACTTGAAATACATCAAACTGTTCTTGAACGCTTAATGCATACTATTACAGTGCACAATCTCAAAATTTGTATTAAGACAATTTAAATCTTAGGAAATTTCAGATTAACACACTAAGACATTTGTCTGTACAACTATTATTCTACACAGTTTATGAGTCAGAATAAAGGTGAAAGATGCTTTCGCTATTACACTGCCGGTCATTGTCTATCAAGCAAGATGCATTTGAGGTGAAAGCACATATCAAAAAGACTATTGCGGAATAACGGCCTAACCAGAGAGAATGACCCATGAAAGTAACCGGCGAAACGTTGAAAAGCCCCTGTGAATAAGGCAAACATTTGATAAAAAATAGACCACAAATATACCATCATTTTAAGAAATGCTTACCTCCATTTATGGCTGCAAATGCCAACAGAGTGATGACAGTTATGTGACTGTATGCAGAGTGGACCATCTTCTTATCGTAACTGACTTTCCTCATCCTTATATATACCATAACAAGCAATCATATTTAATGTCGTAATCTTATGATTGGTTGATTAAAATAATCACAATTTCATCATTCATTTGTGGAATGTTGTAAGTGTTTGATTGGGGAGTGGAACAACGTCTCATGATGTCGGTGAAATGTGATAGGTGTTATGAGATCTATCAATCTTCCGAAACACTTTAATTTGAATCGTAAAGACAATTCACGTGATGGCGTCCACATGGAGAAAGCACACTCACGATACGTTGTGGACGATCAGGATTAGGGAGTCATCCAGCTTTATGAGGGTTTTAATTGGCGTTTCTAATCTGCAACATAACCTGAATATTTTATCCGTTGCAAGTCAACACTCAACACACTTTGACATATCCTGAGCAGGAATCATTTATGTTAATGACTACCGACAAATCCTTCACTAGTCTTCATAGTTCAATCCCATGAATGTCAGAATAAAACAGTCAGTGGAGGGAATCTGTAATCTGGACAGATATTGTATTGAGGCAGCTAGAAGTACAAACCAGACTGTCATTTAATTTCAGCTAATATTTGGTCATTAGGAATGTGAAATACAGTGAGAATAAACCGGTAAATCACCCGACTATACACTCATAATCCACAGATACATACGCCTCATGAGTAAGTTATATTCAGTGATGTGAAGGAAATGTGAATTCTACAAAAATATATAGGACCAAATAGAGTAAAGCGAATGTGAATCCTACTCAAAAAAGTAATGATGGAATATATTTATTATATTGTGGCAATAAAAGTATAGAACAAAATAATGATAATCAGCAGAGGTGTGGGGAGTGGTGTGAAGTTTACTAGCTGACAAATGGTAGGAAGGAGGTGAATATGTGTGATGACTGTATAGAATTCACTGGTGAGAACCATCGATTACTGCGGTGATTTTGAAATCATTCTCATTTTTGGTCCTTCCTCGTATATGCTTCTCTACAAAATTTGGAGGGCTTTCTTTTTCTTACTCGATAGTTTTCAGATTCCAGACGAAAATGAGAAGATCCCATGACAACATTATCTATTTATCTAGAAGCCTCAGTGTTGACAATAAATTGCATCTTCACCATACGTTTCAGTGATAGTAACATTGGTTAACATTGAGATTACATCTAAAGTTACCAGTTGTACATGTTAAGTTCATATCTACAATTATATCAAGAAAAGTGCACACATCATGTATAACTCATTCGACTGTCCCTCGACTTAGAGGACCCGGGAAACACAATTGACACTGAACAGGTAAATAACATAGTTAATTTAATGTTGACGAAACAGAAGGTAGAAGGACTATCTGCTCATAGATTTCCACTCAACCGTTAAGATTCCTTGTATGAGCCTTAGATTGAATGATTTGATCGGAAGCACATGAGTAAGGTATATTCTTCTCTTTTTGGGACTTCAGCGTTTCAACAATCTGGTGCTCCATAGCCCTATTCTAGTCGTTGTTTACTGCAAGACGCTGTTCAAAATTGGAAACGACCAGCCACTGGGGAGTCTGATTCTTCGATATAGTCAGATTTATTCAGTGTAAGAATATCAGGTCTGAGGATTATATGACTATCACCTGACTTGAATTACTGCATGGATTCCATAACTCTCGTTAGAATAATATCTACCTCCTCCTTCGTGTTAATTATTCTCTACATCAATAATTCCGATTGTGCCTCTCTCTGACCTGCATTTATCAGAAAAATCGAAGTCTCGTTTCTGAATAAAATGGCATTCCTCTCTCTCTCTATCTCTCCCTTCTCTCCTCTAACCTTCCTCATTTTTACAACTGACAATTCTGAAGACGTTAGTGACAACGGTCATTCGCACAAATTTACCCCCTTCTTAATTTATTGTTGGAACATTTAAATTACATACATTTCACTGCAAATGGCTTTGTCCGGATCCCTCCTGCTCTTCACACAAACATGCAATTACCTGAAGGACATTTCTTCTTACCAGGTAGGTAAAGAAGGCAAGACAGTCTCCTTTTACAGTTTTTAACTCTTTGGAATATTTGCAAATACGATGTAAAATTTCCTGGTCTACCATTAGAAAACTTTAGTATGTGGAGATCGGAGATGAGAGCTGTCAGTAGGACGTGCGTGTTTTCGCAAAGTCAACTCGTTAATCTCGTTGTGAACAGACACCTGAACTCATACGAAGAATCGAAGAGTACCCTTGTGACAGACGGAGAGCAGCGTCATATTACACCCTCTCCACACCTTTCTCATACTCAGAAATAGATACAATTGTAGAACATTTTATCCTCTTACAACATGATATTAATTCTTAAACAGAGCTTTTTTGTCACGCCTTTGATGTGATTAGAGAAGAGTTATATGAAAAACTATTTTGTTGAAATATGTCCATCAAAATATGCTGCATAGATCTCATAGTGCAAAATCATTTCCACTCCATCTGCATAGTCATATGACTCAAGGGGAGTTTAGCATAACGAATCAATGAAAACAGTCTCTCGCTGTCTCTAGAACAATATACATCTAAGTCTCTATTAGAAAACGCACATTGCGAATTATGAAAAGAAAGATGTCCATATGGCATAAATACAAAATATGTAGACAGTAGAAACTGAGTGTACTCATGCTTTGCGTCAGGTGTAATATATTAAATAAATGAAAAAGACATCGCAAAAAAGAGTTTAGTTTCTCCAAGAACGGACTGTGTAGATCTCGTTTTATCGGTACAAATTTCAGAAATCACATAGAACGTCTAGTATCAGAAGCACTTCATGACAACTGGAATGATGGACTAAAACAGAATTTGACCTGGTCACAACATCCCGATCCCCCATGAAATGATAAAATCAACACGAATTTCATAAAAACACGCTGCTTTTGTAATTTTTCTCAATTATCAAATCCAACAATCTACAACTGGTTTTCTTTTCTTTACCAGTTGGCCAACTTGACAACGCAACAATGACCATATGCTCAGGAACGATGATTCAGTTGATATGAATGAATTGAGATTTTGAAAATTCTGGTTTAACAATATTTTGATAAAGCTATTAGCATTAAACAGCGAAACGTCGGTAAAAACAATATTGCTTGTTTTCCATTCATTGGGAAATACAAAATCCTTTATTATAATGGACATGATAATATTTTTATTACCGTCATGGCGGTTTATATGGGTTTGCGTCATTTATTTTATTTTTTTTTTTTTTTTCATTTTTGATTACAGCCTAATTCCACACCGTATTTTTGGTACAAGTATGGAATTTTCAGCGTGGATATCGGTAGCCCAAATTTTGCAGGACAACCATAGATATCAGATGTGCGTCTGCGCGGGCTTGAACCCCGGACCATGTGCATGGTCGGCGAGAGTCCTAACCACTGTGCCACCGACGCACATCTGTCTTGCTTGATTAGAGTTTGCCATACAGGTGATAAGTCTATCCATTCTCTCCTATTTACTGTATTCGATGTGGTTAAACTGTGCAAGGCTTCAGATGTCAACCTTTCTTCATGTGAATGACAGCCTCTTCTTGTTATATCCGCTGTCTATCGCATGAATTGCTGTAGCTGATCTTTTCTCTACACTTCTTAATTCTACTTCATTTCTAGGTGGAGGTTTCGTGCATATACCACATTATCATGTTTATCACATGTGACATGTGTTCACGTCTTTTCCACATGACGAATAACACACACTCACATACACTCAAGGAGCAAATATACACTCTAACTATTTGACATTAGTCATTACAAATATATGAAGACTGCTTACATATTTCTATTGGTACAAATGCCTATCGACAAGTGACCTTCAAATGAGCTGACTTCATTTGATATAAACGTTTTCACCACATATCTCGATGATGAATACAATCCGAGTAATTCTGCTCAAGAAGCCGTGGCTTGTACAGCGAATCCTCCAGAAAACAGATCTTGTTTTGATTTTTTCTTCAACACGCTGGGATTATTTCAAATAATGTATAATGATTCTACTTTTACAATTTCTTAGCTCTTGTATATCACCTATTGTACTTTATTGATCATCTTAGTCTCTCTTGGCCTACTGTAGATCGACTACATCATGTTGTGAAGGGAATTATGGTTTATCAGTAGCTTTGTGGTGTACAATCTAGTCAGGTTGTTACTACATTATTTGGTAGGCATGTGAACTCATGCGAGAAATTCTCTAAATCCAGATTGTCCAACATTCAACACCCTGTCTACTCTCAACTCTCCCCCATTGTATCTCATCTAGTAGAACTAGGTGCGGTACAAAATATTATTTGATTGCAGTATTCAGCAAAGGAACTCGACAATACCATATTTGGCCAGTGTTCTGTGTCACAGAGACCATGTCATGCGCGAAACCTAGGAGTGAATATGTTGTTAGCGAAATAATTGGCTCTCTGATTATCTCCAATTTGTAATCTATGGTGACACTATCTCAAATAAGTGAGAATCTCAGCTACTGACATTAACATAACTATTTACAAGTTTTCTTGAATATATGTGCGGCCCCACTGTCACTACAAATACCAAATAAGAACTGACTCTGACAGTCAAACAATATTATTTCCATAATCGTTTCCAATGTAATTGGATAACGTTAGATGCAATATTGTACGAAATGCTGAAAAACCCACACTCTATCATTTGTACTGTTTGAGAGTAAGCAAAATTTTTGTTATTATTAATAGATATATAATAATAGATATATAATAGATAAATTAATAGATAAGCGCAACATGCAAGTAATCAAAGACATGTCCCATGGTTTCTAGAACGATGAGTGAAATGGTTTGATTTGAGGCGAAACTGATTCATCACCACAATCAGAATGATCGCCATCACAGCTGTACCAGACTACCCATCCACCAGTTTCTTCAAGTGAATTACAAAAGCAATGTGGCGTGCATTTCTCGTTTTAATTCAATCCTATCATTGATATTCTGAGTGAAATCAGTGAGTAGAAACACTGGAAGCGTAGATATTTTTAGAAAGTATCCGACCTCCTCATTAGTGATCATAATCAAAGATCACCAGCCAACATATGAAAATAACGCATGAAACGTGTCTTATATCGTACGATAAAGCCATTTACACAGGGCGGAATTATTTGTGTGATTTCATGTGAAATTCATGCATCGTTTGTTCTATGAAAATGTGTCAGTGTTACTAATTATTCTATTTCAGAAGTAATTTCACAAAATGAGAGATTTTTAGCCAGTGTATTGTGTAGAATGCTAAAGAGCAGTTGAAAGGGCGGGTGAACCAGTTGGATGAATGTCTTTCACCCTCCCGCTGATTCAGTCCACATACTACACATGAGGCGACTGACTTAAATCACAATTCAACTGAATCGTTTGCGTCTCACATTTGGTCTTCCGAAGTGCACTTCACCACTGTCCGTTGTGTGTATTCTGCTTCAGATTTATAAGATCAGTGTGATGATCAGTTCAGTCAGATTGTTCACCACAACAACGATTCAAGCATTCCAGTTGACGGGGCATAATCTGAAGGCCATTCTATTCTAGGAAACATGTGTCCTTCGGAATTCACCTGGTTTCTCTCATGAAATATGGCTCACATCCAAATCACCCGCTCCCTCACTGACTAGCACAGTTGACTTAAGCTTGTTGTCCTTCGGTTGTTCGTGACTGATTACTCCTCCACGTCCTCAACTCCTTATGAAATCCTTCGTACTGGATACTGAGTTGGTATCCTTTGCAGTATTCCTCATTTATTTTCACACTAACTTGATACAGTCATCTTCAGAGTCTGCACAAAAGTATTTGGAGTTAGTAGGGTGTTAACAGGGTTGCCAATTGAGCAAGGACATAGGTCAGTCTTACCTTGATACCGTTATTCAGAAGTCGTTTCTTTGTATATACATGACAGGAAGTTCCTAATGAGTTCCCACACGGCGAATTGAATGTTTGAGATATGATATGGGGTAAAAAATTATCATTGAGGAGCAAGTTTGTCATCTGTGCACTTTCCAAGTGTGAAGGATGTGAGATCAAATACAACAAAGTCAATGGTGTAGAGTAATAATTATTTAGAAAATCCTTCGTGAACTGTCTGGTTTCGATGACGATAAAATAGAATGGGATATTTTGGTACATGCTGTGAATTGCATGTTGTTTGGAATAACTCGGTTTCATTATTATTGTTATTATTACGACCATTTATATTTTTATCAGTTAGAAGGGACTCTAGGCATAAGTATGCAATGGAGATGTGCTCTTGGATGGTGATGTTCCGCCTGGGACACTAATCAGTATTAATAACTACAATTCTTTTATTTCTGAAATTATTATTGTTACTGAGATTGCTAGGCCACGTGTTGGCCATACACTTGTGTTTCAACGGAAACCATTGCTGTAACTGAGTAGTGATTATAGAAGATTGTGGAGACGACGCATAATTGTTTACAGAATGAAGAAATATATATTTGTGTTATTTCACGTACACTAATTAAAGATATAGAATTCTTGGAACAATTGTGCTAGTGGAATAGTCATTATTCATTATTATTATTATTATGAAAACTCTACAAACGAGAAGGTTACTGATAACCCACCATTGTTTACAGAATGAAGAAATATTTGTGTCATTTGAGGTCAACATCACGAGATGTGTATCTAATGAGTATGTATCACTCTTTGCAATAATTTTACCTTGGAAATAATTTAAGTATCACATTAGTGAACGTATTAACTTTATTCCAAACAGTAATTTTGGCACAAGCATCCAATTTTCAGAATGATCAGCTCAGAGAGACAGAAGAAACGATAGGACTTCAGATAGTGTGTAGAATTGGAAGAATTGTGTAGAATGCTAAAGAGCAGTTGAAAGGGCGGGTGAACCAGTTGGATGAATGTCTTTCACCCTCCCGCTGATTCAGTCCACATACTACACATGAGGCGACTGACTTAAATCACAATTCAACTGAATCGTTTGCGTCTCACATTTGGTCTTCCGAAGTGCACTTCACCACTGTCCATTGTGTGTATTCTGCTTCAGATTTATAAGATCAGTGTGATGATCAGTTCAGTCAGATTGTTCACCACAACAACGATTCAAGCATTCCAGTGGACGGGGTATAATCTGAAAGCCATTCTATTCTAGGAAACATGTGTCCTTCGGAATTCACCTGGTTTCTCTCATGAAATATGGCTCACATCCAAATCACCCGCTCCCTCACTGACTAGACACAGTTGACTTAAGCTTGTTGTCCTTCGGTTGTTCGTCGACTGATTACTCCTCCACGTCCTCAACTCCTTATGAAATCCTTCGTACTGGATACTGAGTTGGTATCCTTTGCAGTATTCCTCATTTATTTTCACACTAACTTGATACAGTCATCTTCAGAGTCTGCACAAAAGTATTTGGAGTTAGTAGGGTGTTAACAGGGTTGCCAATTGAGCAAGGACATAGGTCAGTCTTACCTTGATACCGTTATTCAGAAGTCGTTTCTTTGTATATACATGACAGGAAGTTCCTAATGAGTTCCCACACGGCGAATTGAATGTTTGAGATGTGATATGGGGGAAACAGTTATCATTGAGTAGCAAGTTTGTCATCTGTGCACTTTCCAAGTGTGAAGGATGTGAGATCAAATACAGCAAAGTCAATGGTGTAGAGTAATAATTATTTAGAAAATCCTTCGTGAACTGTCTGGTTTCGATGACGGTAAAATAGAATGGGATATTTTGGTACATTCTGTGAATTGCATGTTGTTTGGAATAACTCGGTTTCATTATTATTGTTATTATTACGACCATTTATATTTTTATCAGTTAGAAGGGACTCTAGGCATAAGTATGCAATGGAGATGTGCTCTTGGATGGTGAAGTTCCGCCTGGAACACTAACCAGTAATAATAACTACAATTCTTTTATTTCTGAAATTATTATTGTTACTGAGATTGCTAGGCCACGTGTTGGCCATACACTTGTGTTTCAACGGAAACCATTGCTGTAACTGAGTAGTGATTATAGAAGATTGTGGAGACGACGCATAATTGTTTACAGAATGAAGAAATATATATTTGTGTTATTTCACGTACACTAATTAAAGTTATAGAATTCTTGGAACAATTGTGCTAGTGGAATAGTCATTATTATTATTATCATTATTATTATTATTATTATTATTATTATGAACACTCTACAAACGAGAAGGTTACTGATAGCCCACCATTGTTTACAGAATGAAGAAATATTTGTGTCATTTGAGGTCAACATCCCGAGATGTGTGTCTAATGAGTATGTATCACTCTTTCCAATAATTTTACCTTGGAAATAATTTAAGTATCACATTAGTGAAAGTATTAACTTCATTCCAAACAGTAATTTTGGCACAAGCATCCAATTTTCAGTATGATCAGCTCAGAGAGACAGAAGAAACGATAGGACTTCAGATAGTGTGTAGAATTGAAGAATTGTGTAGAATGCTAAAGAGCAGTTGAAAGGGCGGGTGAACCAGTTGGATGAATGTCTTTCACCCTCCCGCTGATTCAGTCCACATACTACACATGAGGCGACTGACTTAAATCACAATTCAACTGAATCGTTTGCGTCTCACATTTGGTCTTCCGAAGTGCACTTCACCACTGTCCATTGTGTGTATTCTGCTTCAGATTTATAAGATCAGTGTGATGATCAGTTCAGTCAGATTGTTCACCACAACAACGATTCAAGCATTCCAGTGGACGGGGTATAATCTGAAAGCCATTCTATTCTAGGAAACATGTGTCCTTCGGAATTCACCTGGTTTCTCTCATGAAATATGGCTCACATCCAAATCACCCGCTCCCTCACTGACTAGACACAGTTGACTTAAGCTTGTTGTCCTTCGGTTGTTCGTCGACTGATTACTCCTCCACGTCCTCAACTCCTTATGAAATCCTTCGTACTGGATACTGAGTTGGTATCCTTTGCAGTATTCCTCATTTATTTTCACACTAACTTGATACAGTCATCTTCAGAGTCTGCACAAAAGTATTTGGAGTTAGTAGGGTGTTAACAGGGTTGCCAATTGAGCAAGGACATAGGTCAGTCTTACCTTGATACCGTTATTCAGAAGTCGTTTCTTTGTATATACATGACAGGAAGTTCCTAATGAGTTCCCACACGGCGAATTGAATGTTTGAGATGTGATATGGGGGAAACAGTTATCATTGAGTAGCAAGTTTGTCATCTGTGCACTTTCCAAGTGTGAAGGATGTGAGATCAAATACAGCAAAGTCAATGGTGTAGAGTAATAATTATTTAGAAAATCCTTCGTGAACTGTCTGGTTTCGATGACGGTAAAATAGAATGGGATATTTTGGTACATTCTGTGAATTGCATGTTGTTTGGAATAACTCGGTTTCATTATTATTGTTATTATTACGACCATTTATATTTTTATCAGTTAGAAGGGACTCTAGGCATAAGTATGCAATGGAGATGTGCTCTTGGATGGTGAAGTTCCGCCTGGAACACTAACCAGTAATAATAACTACAATTCTTTTATTTCTGAAATTATTATTGTTACTGAGATTGCTAGGCCACGTGTTGGCCATACACTTGTGTTTCAACGGAAACCATTGCTGTAACTGAGTAGTGATTATAGAAGATTGTGGAGACGACGCATAATTGTTTACAGAATGAAGAAATATATATTTGTGTTATTTCACGTACACTAATTAAAGTTATAGAATTCTTGGAACAATTGTGCTAGTGGAATAGTCATTATTATTATTATCATTATTATTATTATTATTATTATTATTATTATGAACACTCTACAAACGAGAAGGTTACTGATAGCCCACCATTGTTTACAGAATGAAGAAATATTTGTGTCATTTGAGGTCAACATCCCGAGATGTGTGTCTAATGAGTATGTATCACTCTTTCCAATAATTTTACCTTGGAAATAATTTAAGTATCACATTAGTGAAAGTATTAACTTCATTCCAAACAGTAATTTTGGCACAAGCATCCAATTTTCAGTATGATCAGCTCAGAGAGACAGAAGAAACGATAGGACTTCAGATAGTGTGTAGAATTGAAGAATTGTGTAGAATGCTAAAGAGCAGTTGAAAGGGCGGGTGAACCAGTTGGATGAATGTCTTTCACCCTCCCGCTGATTCAGTCCACATACTACACATGAGGCGACTGACTTAAATCACAATTCAACTGAATCGTTTGCGTCTCACATTTGGTCTTCCGAAGTGCACTTCACCACTGTCCATTGTGTGTATTCTGCTTCAGATTTATAAGATCAGTGTGATGATCAGTTCAGTCAGATTGTTCACCACAACAACGATTCAAGCATTCCAGTGGACGGGGTATAATCTGAAAGCCATTCTATTCTAGGAAACATGTGTCCTTCGGAATTCACCTGGTTTCTCTCATGAAATATGGCTCACATCCAAATCACCCGCTCCCTCACTGACTAGACACAGTTGACTTAAGCTTGTTGTCCTTCGGTTGTTCGTCGACTGATTACTCCTCCACGTCCTCAACTCCTTATGAAATCCTTCGTACTGGATACTGAGTTGGTATCCTTTGCAGTATTCCTCATTTATTTTCACACTAACTTGATACAGTCATCTTCAGAGTCTGCACAAAAGTATTTGGAGTTAGTAGGGTGTTAACAGGGTTGCCAATTGAGCAAGGACATAGGTCAGTCTTACCTTGATACCGTTATTCAGAAGTCGTTTCTTTGTATATACATGACAGGAAGTTCCTAATGAGTTCCCACACGGCGAATTGAATGTTTGAGATGTGATATGGGGGAAACAGTTATCATTGAGTAGCAAGTTTGTCATCTGTGCACTTTCCAAGTGTGAAGGATGTGAGATCAAATACAGCAAAGTCAATGGTGTAGAGTAATAATTATTTAGAAAATCCTTCGTGAACTGTCTGGTTTCGATGACGGTAAAATAGAATGGGATATTTTGGTACATTCTGTGAATTGCATGTTGTTTGGAATAACTCGGTTTCATTATTATTGTTATTATTACGACCATTTATATTTTTATCAGTTAGAAGGGACTCTAGGCATAAGTATGCAATGGAGATGTGCTCTTGGATGGTGAAGTTCCGCCTGGAACACTAACCAGTAATAATAACTACAATTCTTTTATTTCTGAAATTATTATTGTTACTGAGATTGCTAGGCCACGTGTTGGCCATACACTTGTGTTTCAACGGAAACCATTGCTGTAACTGAGTAGTGATTATAGAAGATTGTGGAGACGACGCATAATTGTTTACAGAATGAAGAAATATATATTTGTGTTATTTCACGTACACTAATTAAAGTTATAGAATTCTTGGAACAATTGTGCTAGTGGAATAGTCATTATTATTATTATCATTATTATTATTATTATTATTATTATTATGAACACTCTACAAACGAGAAGGTTACTGATAGCCCACCATTGTTTACAGAATGAAGAAATATTTGTGTCATTTGAGGTCAACATCCCGAGATGTGTGTCTAATGAGTATGTATCACTCTTTCCAATAATTTTACCTTGGAAATAATTTAAGTATCACATTAGTGAAAGTATTAACTTCATTCCAAACAGTAATTTTGGCACAAGCATCCAATTTTCAGTATGATCAGCTCAGAGAGACAGAAGAAACGATAGGACTTCAGATAGTGTGTAGAATTGAAGAATTGTGTAGAATGCTAAAGAGCAGTTGAAAGGGCGGGTGAACCAGTTGGATGAATGTCTTTCACCCTCCCGCTGATTCAGTCCACATACTACACATGAGGCGACTGACTTAAATCACAATTCAACTGAATCGTTTGCGTCTCACATTTGGTCTTCCGAAGTGCACTTCACCACTGTCCATTGTGTGTATTCTGCTTCAGATTTATAAGATCAGTGTGATGATCAGTTCAGTCAGATTGTTCACCACAACAACGATTCAAGCATTCCAGTGGACGGGGTATAATCTGAAAGCCATTCTATTCTAGGAAACATGTGTCCTTCGGAATTCACCTGGTTTCTCTCATGAAATATGGCTCACATCCAAATCACCCGCTCCCTCACTGACTAGACACAGTTGACTTAAGCTTGTTGTCCTTCGGTTGTTCGTCGACTGATTACTCCTCCACGTCCTCAACTCCTTATGAAATCCTTCGTACTGGATACTGAGTTGGTATCCTTTGCAGTATTCCTCATTTATTTTCACACTAACTTGATACAGTCATCTTCAGAGTCTGCACAAAAGTATTTGGAGTTAGTAGGGTGTTAACAGGGTTGCCAATTGAGCAAGGACATAGGTCAGTCTTACCTTGATACCGTTATTCAGAAGTCGTTTCTTTGTATATACATGACAGGAAGTTCCTAATGAGTTCCCACACGGCGAATTGAATGTTTGAGATGTGATATGGGGGAAACAGTTATCATTGAGTAGCAAGTTTGTCATCTGTGCACTTTCCAAGTGTGAAGGATGTGAGATCAAATACAGCAAAGTCAATGGTGTAGAGTAATAATTATTTAGAAAATCCTTCGTGAACTGTCTGGTTTCGATGACGGTAAAATAGAATGGGATATTTTGGT